GCACTTGTTCCTAGTAGCTTCTTGTTACTACTAGTAAAGGCACTTGTTACTAGAAGCGATGCACTTGTTCCTAGTAGCTTCTTGTTACTATTAGTAAGGCACTTGTGACTAGAGGCGATGCACTTGTTCCTAGTAGCTTCTTGTTACTACTAGTAAGGCACTTGTTACTAGAAGCGATGCACTTGTTCCTAGTAGCTTCTTGTTACTACTAGTAAGGCACTTGTTACTAGAAGCGATGCACTTGTTCCTCGTAGCTTCTTGTTACTACTAGTAAGGCACTTGTTACTAGAAGCGATGCACTTGTTCCTAGTAGCTTCTTGTTTCTACTAGTAAAGGCACTTGTTACTAGAAGCGATGCACTTGTTCCTAGTAGCTTCTTGTTACTACTAGTAAAGGCACTTGTGACTAGAAGCGATGCACTTGTTCCTAGTAGCTTCTTGTTACTACTAGTTACTAGTAAGGCACTTGTTACTAGAAGCGATGCACTTGTTCCTAGTAGCTTCTTGTTACTACTAGTAAGGCACTTGTTACTAGAAGCGATGCACTTGTTCCTAGTAGCTTCTTGGTACTACTAGTAGTAAAGGCATCTCCCGAAATCACCGACTCCTGGTCTAAGCGTTGTAGACCCGCCACGAACTCTGGACCACTCACGCTCTCGGCCGTGTCATCCAGCAGCTTTTGGATGGCCGCTTGACCAGGCTCGGCGCCCGGGCCGGTCTCCGTCAGCACCAGCTCCTGATTTGACCGTGCCACTCGCCGAAACTGAAGACACCAAAAAGTACTGGATGGGTTCAAATGGGTTTGCGTTGATAGCTAGTTTGGAGCATGCAACTTGCGCATTTGTGTTACCTGGCCTATTCAATGGTAAACTCAAGGATTATTTGTTCGTGGTCCATGATTGGACTTGGCAAGAGGAGTGCAAGCCTGTGGAAGTCATACATGGCGCGTGACCGTTAGTCTAACTCGAGCACCGAACTTCAGACATAATTAGGGCACTCGCCGCTGGTTGTCACTACCGTTTCGTCCTGCAATACCTTTGAACCAGTCAACCCTCAACCCAAATGAATGTGACCAGACCGGCCGTATTGGTGCACCAGTCACCGTTCTCCAGAGCATGCTGGAAACTCAACAACATTTGGGCCTGTGTCCTGCCCAAACATGGCCCTTAAATCCTAAAAGGATCTATATAATTTAGGGGAAGGTCTAAGCCCTCAACAGTGATCTCCAACGGGGCTCACTGCTTTGTCTAACTCGTGCCACACGCCCTTTCATCCCTTAGATCGCACGAGCAAATCACTTATCCGGCTCCTCGAGTTTCACCAAGGCTTGTGGCAGATCGATGGACGCCTCCAGCGCTCCAAGAGACAGAAAGGTCTCATGATCCAAGGCTTCGGCGCCTGGTCTGGGCCGACCGAGACACTCGGTGGACCCGAACATGGCTGACGGGGCGCTGGAGCCGCTGGACGGTCGCCGAAATGTGGGACTCATGACTCATGACTCGATCCGGTCTTTCCTAGGATAAGATATTAGAAAAGACATATTGTGCTTTCTCACATTTTCTCACCCTGATTTGGCACATGGGCGATTGAATGATGAATGTGTGCATGTGAGACATACCGATGTGGACCGTTCAGGCTGGCGAAAGTGAGCCCAAGATTGCCAAGACTAGACTATATATAGACATACTTTCAGTAGATCCACTACGAGACCCCATCATACCCCATCCCGTGCCTTGCAACAACTGCGCGAAGTCAAAAGCCATTGCCACTCCGGCCGTTTCGGCCAGCCCCAGGCGTTGAGCGGCGGCCAGAAAGGCCTCGCGCGTGATGCTGCCAGTCTTCTGGTCATCCACCTGCTCTAAAAGTGTCATCCGTGAGCCGCACGCAGACACCAGCCATCGAAGCGCCCGCGCTGCGGTGTCCAAGTCCTTCATGCGCTTGGTCATGCTGAGGATGCGGAGATCTTCTCGGCTAATGTAGCCCGAGCGACTCGCATCCAAAGCCACAAAAAGCGCTTCAATCTCCTCAGGAGATTTGGACCATCCAAGCTCTTCGATACCTGCTGCCAAGCTTTCTCTCGTCAAAGCACCTTCTGCTTCTGCATCCAGATTGGTAAATGCCATTTCCAGACTCTCATGTTTCTCCACCAGCGCGGTGTGCAGCTCTAGAAGCTGCTCCGCCGGTGCCGGCACGCTAATCTCCAGCAATCGTAAGAAGTCCTGCAACCCGATGCGGCCCCCGAGCCCCGTGCGTGGGCGGCACAGGAAGCTGAACACAGCAGGGCCATCGCTTCGAGCTGCCGGGAAACCTGCACGCATGAGGCCCTCCTGAAACTCTTCAGTGCCAATATCGAAGGAAATGTCAGCCTCCGTGGGTGATTCAGGCACCTCTGGCTCCTGGGGCACCTCATCTCCCGGTTCTGCCGTTGGATCTGGCTCCTCGGGTGGAGGAGGCAGGTCAATGTGTGGCAGGACCAGTTGCCCACCATTGAAGTCGCATCCGAGGATTCGGATGGAATAGTGTAGCGGATGTGACTCCAAGACCCCTTCCGCAGTGCCAGGCTCCGGCAAGGGGCCACCGGCCTCTAACAGTTTCTGCGGGAGGTGGTAAATTCCCTCGATCTTGGTCGTCAACACCGCCCAGTCGTGCAAATCTTCGGGGCAAAGGATGCGCCCCATGGGTGCGGCTGTGGAGATCTTGAAGAAGAGTCGGCCAGGAGGAGGAGCATTGAACTGGGGCGGCTCGTCTTGAACCGCCTCTTCCGCTTCCTGCTTGGCGCAGCTGGCTTCGTGCTGTAAGACCAAAAAGAACGTAAGAAATGGTTTGATCAGCATTGCATAGCGCAAAATAACAAATGACATTTTACAAAGAACATCAAAGAACGCATTTCTAAGGTTGGTGAGTTTTCCCCCCCGTGAGCATCATCCACATTCTACAAATGGGAGGGCCATCTTCATCCATCTTCCAATGACAACTCTCCAGCCCTCGCGGCCCTCGCGGCCCTCGGGGCCCTCGCCTCGCCGGCCTCACCCTCGGCCTTCGCAGCCTCAGCCCGTTCGGCCTCCGCCTTCGCGGCCTCCGCTGCCACCGCCTCGTCGAAGTCGGCCTTCAGCTCGTTCACCAAGGCCTCCACATGTGCGAAGCGGGCGCATGATGGGGTGCGCCAAGCGGGCGGCTAGGGTCTCAACCTGTTTGAGGTCCACACATCCCCAGCTAGCCATAGAATTCAAAACCCTATAGCTAAATTGAATTGTTTTTTCACAACAAGTCGTCCTCATCCAACCACATGGGACCATCCTCTCCACAACCCGGCCCACACAGCCCACTTCGCACATCCGCCTCCGACCAGTGCAGTTCCAGGTCGACCTCCAGGTTTGCCGTGTCGTGGATCAGCTGCGTGAGCTGCATCGAGGCTTCGCCCAGCTCTTGACCACCCGTGCGGAAAAGCTTCACGCGCAAGGGCGCGCAGGCGCTGTCCAGCAGCCGCTGCCTGGCCAGGCTGACACCAAATTCATCCAAATTCCCACTCATGTCCCCTGTTCGGTGTGGTGTGGATGGATGAACTGCAAGGAACGGGAAAGAAGGACATCAGAAGGACAGGTGCGCAGGCTTGGGAACTTTGGGAGGTTCTGATCCTTCCATACACTGGTTCTCATGGTTCGCTCGGCTCTCGTCCCCGTCCCCCACCTTTCCAGCGCGCTCTTGCAGGGCCGCGCGATGCGACACACCGCGGTGGGTGGATCGATGGATGCCGGGCGGGACTCGTCCTGAAAAACGGGGCAGGGTGGGCCTCTGGTGGAGAGGAATGGAAGGGTCTGAATGGGGGAGTTTTTAATACACTGTACCATATTTTGATATGTTTGGATACCCTTTTTTTCACTCAAATGCAAATCAGTGGGCCAAGTCATACAAAATATCAAAGGAGTCACTTGACACGTGTCCAAAATGGAGGACGGCATGCCCATGCATGCCTCACATTCACTGTCTCAGCAGAGCCTGGGCATCCTTCTTCGGCTTATTCTTCCCTTGCGCTGCCTCTGCCTGCCGAAGTTTGGGCATTCTACACAGAGAGAATGAAAATATATAAACACGCACGCCATGTTCAAAACTCTATATATATATATGTATACAGTATATAAGTGTGACGTATGGTCATGCTACCCCACCCTTGATAGGGATGACAGGGGTTGTGTGGTTCCAAATGTGACCATCACAGGCCATAAAGTCAGACAACCTTCTAACCACTTTATATAACCCAACCAAGTGGCAAACATGAAGCTCTCTGTGGCGTCCCGCCTCAGCTTTCAGGCGTTTCGCCTCTGCCAAGGCTTCCAAGCTTTGAAACAGCCATGGGCCTGGCTCTGTGGACTCCTGCAACCAACCCAAACGTGCGCACGTTTCCGGCGCTCCGTCCATGTGGCTTCAGACCCCTCAGTCCTCCACCTGAGCTTCAGAGGCATAGTCCTGCGGCGAAGCAAATGAGTCCGAGCCAATGAGTCAGACCAAATGGCAAAAAGAGTTGGAACATGTGTCACGAAAGGTCTCTGCACATGCTGAGTCTGCACAAACATCTCACCGCATGTCTGTGGCACACATCCATCCGTCCACCGGACCCCAAGGAATCACTGGATGAAAAACAACACCTACAGCGACAGTAACCCCACCATGTCCAGTCTCATGCCTACCACGGCCTACCTCCCATCCCAAACCTCCCCGTCTCGGCTGCGCGGAGCGCGTTTCGCGCAGAGCGCGTTTCGGTCCTCTTCGAGGCCCAAGCCCGAGATCTGCACGTAGGTCACGTCCGGCTTTGGGAGGCCCTGTGCCCCGGGCACCTCGAGATGGAAGACAATGGCCTGGAGATGGCAGCCCGGCAAGCCGAGGATCCCTGCAAAGAATCGGAGGTTTGGTCGCGGTTTTGAGGTCAAGAGAAGGATGAAGGATGAAGGATGAAGATGAAGGAGGAGGAGGAGGAGGAGGAGGATGGAGGAGGAGTCTACAACGCTTAGACTGACTGTCGATTGTCTTTGAGATCTCCTATGGGACCGGAGGTGAGGAGATTTGAAACTTTCTGCATTTCAGCAGAGCTCTAGTAATTAGTAGTAGCTTCTTGCTCCTAGTAGTAAGGCCAGGAGTCCCTAGTAGCGTCCTTGCTCCTAGCAGTAAGGCCAGGAGCCCCTAGGAGCTTCTTGGATGTGCAGTAGGTGTTTGCGTTTTGTCCATGTCGCGACAGTAAAGGGAGGCATCAGGTGGTATCACTCCCACACCTGTTCAGCCGGCGCTTCCTCCGCCATCGTCCTGTAGAGGATGAGGGGCGTTCAGCTCTGGCCAAATTCGTGCCATCCATGCATGCTTGTCAAGAAGTCTACAGACCTTTTACAAGGAGACTTTACTCAGAACAGCTGTTTAGCGACAATCTGTTCATGGGGAAGGAAACCCACCCTAAGCTTGTCGCACCCGAAAATCAAAGGAACAGTCAACACATGCTTCAATTCCATTCAACTCCTTGGAACTAGCTGCTGCGTCACGCAAATCAAATTTCTTTCAGACAGTTGACGGGCTAGGCAACATGTTGTGGAAGGTTCCTTAACCATGGCACTGGCGCAAAGCAGTTTTCTTCCAAACGCCCACTCTTGCGAAAATGTGTTCTCTGTACTAAAGTGGCATAGCTGTTCTGCTGTACCGCTGGATCCAGCAAAAAGGGCTCTCCACAAAACCTCCAGCGCACTTTTGCGCATCCGGACTGGGTCCGGCACTGAATAGCTCAGATCCACCGCTTTTGGTGGCGCGCGGAAATGGCAAATCCACTCACAGTTCCATTCACATGTCACCTTTCCGGAAGGCTTCTCGGTCGAAGCCCGGAACGACCCGCACCGCCAGGCTCAAGCGCTGCAAGGACTGGGCCAAGCGAATGGCCTTGTTCCACTCGGGCGTGGTGGATAGGACTGAGAAGAGATGGTCTCGAGCGTGTTCCGCCTTCGAACGCGCTTCGGCCAAGGACAGAGGGAGCTCTGACATCAGAGACGAGGTCACGCGATAGACGGTGTTCTTGCGGGTCTCAAAGGTCTTGTCCAGAAGGAGGACGTGCCATTCCTTGGACTCACTCTATATGTAATTGGTCACACACCCACACACACACAAAAAAAAAAATGATTTAAACATGTTAATTAAACAATGGGTTCTTGTTTGGCAGAGTTCGTCTTGAATCACTCCAACCAGCCAGGCATTTCGCTCCAAAAGCAGAAACACCGCGGAAGGTACTTGCAACGTTCGAAACTGCTTTGGGCCACCGGGGTGGAATCCGACACTTCACATCTCAGGACCCATGAGGTGCCCCAATGTGCGACCCTGAACTGCAAAAGCCGAAATAGCGCCCAGCTGAACACCACCTGACTATAGACTATAGACTATAGACTATAGACTCCAACTTAATCAATTCTTATCACATGTATCACCCCTCATCTAAATATACATTCCAAGCCTCTGGCGGCTTCTCCACATCTTCATCCATCAGCCACCGCACCGCCTCGCCCATTCTCCGTGGGTCCGGCGAGGAGGGCATCCCCGGCGCCGTCGTCGGCTTCACCGGGGCCACCGCCGGGGCGGCACGGCGCTGGACCTGCACCTGGCGTGGCGAACGGGTCCAACGGAGGAACCGACGACATGAAGCATCATGACCCCAGTGCATATGGCCGGTCTCTACAGGGTGTAGGGGGAACGAAATGTTGCAAATATGGGCAAATTACAAGTGTTGACGGCAAGGAAATCTGGATGGATGGATGGTGAAGAGATGTTTTTGTTTTTTTATCCTTTCGTTGAGCACGACCGTGTTCACCCACCCCGCGCCGACCGACCGGACGCCCGCCTGTCGTTCTCGAATTGGCGTCGTAAAGAGGTACGGACAGCTCGCAGACAGGAGGGCCACTGCCAAAGCCCTCGCCATCAGCCGACCCGGCCGCAGCGGCATCACGTGTGCCACTGCTGTGAAAGGCGAACCCGTAACCCGACGACCGGGAGAGTGAACGTGGAACGTACGTGGAACGTGTCTGTGCTGTATAGACTGAAGTGCTTGCTGGCAGTGGGCCTAGCTGATTCGGTAAGTGGCGGGATGGCTGTGTGAGGTGCACTTGAGCCCGATCGCTGCAAGGCAGGAAGAATCTCACAGCATCCCATGATTGAATTGCTCGGATTCTGGCTGTGCCGGTGCGCGCTGGACCGGCATCGTGGGTCACTTGGAGGATGGAGGATGTGAACATCATGGGCCATTCGGAACTAAAACCACACCCAACCGGAGCAAAGAGGGAGCCAAAAAGGGAGCCGTATCCAGTTCTCATGTGTTCTCATCAGCGTGGCAACAACAGGGCCGTGGTCGGAACGGAACCAAAAGCTGGTTGTCCAGCTTGGCGCAACGAGCGGCCCACAACACAGTGTACAACCTAAGCGATGGCCTCCAACCTAAGCTTGCATTCTATATACATTCCCACTTCCCTGTTTGAGCAAGTGTAAGTTCGGTGGAACAGCGTCGGCATTCAGATGCAATCTGCCTAGGTCAGGTTGGTGCCCGAATTTCCTCACAATCCTCGCAAGAAAACCTACAGACTTACAAATTTAACTCGAGTGTTTAACGCTGCCTAGTGACCTTGACCTCGACCTCTCTTCTCCCAAGACCCCCCCCTTCCCAGAGACCTCCTTAAGCTCAAAGCATTCGCCTGGCAACATCAAGTGGGGTTGCTGACGCCGAGCGGGGACCGTGTTCAGAAAACAAAGGACAAACCTTGAGCAGCTCAGAAACACACAGGTCATTTTGTTCAAGATGAGGTGGTATTGTTTGGTCAGGGTTTGATACCAGCTCATTTTGTTCAGGGCTTCCCATGAGGTGCTATTCCCTACAATGATGGCCCCACCTCGACCGCAGGAAAGGCGGTCTTCTTGTGGGCCACTTGAGCCAGAGCTGTCAGCGAGGAATAGGGCTGATCAAGGTGGTGAGAAGCAAAGCTGAACATAAGTCCTATATAATACCTACTGTATACATCTCATCTATAGTTCTACACACACATAAATAAATATATATATATATATACAAACACACATACATTCACCCACACCCATGCTTTGATATGTGTATTCTTCATGGGGCCAATTCGGCACGGAAGCCTGGCAAACATCTGACAGATTTGTCCTCATCCAGTACATTCAGCAAGTGCCGCACTGGGTTGGCAGAGCTTCTAGATGAGCAACCCGACAAGAGGCCTTGTTTGTGACGGGTCGGAGTCTCCGCATCGTCAACTGCATTTAACCAAAGGGTCTCCCTACTTACTTCTTCCTCTTCAGTCTTCCAGGCCTCCCCACTGGGGCCGCTGTCAAACTCATAGCCCTTTCTTTGGAACCTCACATTTAATTTGTCGAAAAAGGCTTCGTTTGATCAGGGATGGATCAGCTTCGCATGGGGCCCAATTAGCAAGAGAACAGTGTGAGACTTGTTTAATCACGTTAGTTTAATCTCGTGTGTATACTGAAAACATCTGAAAACTGTTTCTTTGGCGATGGTTTCCAACCATCCCACCAACCGGACTCAGGTTCCACCACCACGACTGGGAGGCCCAGCGAGTGCGCGACCTGGGTTCGGGTCTTGGGCCCGACCGCTCAAACAAACACCGTTCATCCCTACGACCAAGTGCGGTGTCACTGTGTCACTATGGTCCACCTTGTTTCACCTGACTTCCACAGATCTTTCCACTCCATCGCCAAGTGGCTCCTCCCGGCTGCGTGTGCGACTCGCACACCAGCACCCTCCGACCCGACCGTGCCAGAAGCCCGGCACACGCGAGGCCACCAAAGCCGGAGCCTGGCCAAAGTGAGCTTAGAAGTTGGAAAATCATGAACATGCATGAAAGCTTAGAAGTTGGAAGTTAGAGCTCGCATCAGTTTTGCATTTGAGAGGTGGGTCGGTCAATCTGCTTTGAGGCCGGAAGCCTATGACCACCACGTCCACTGCGTCGCTTCCTTTCGCCTGGGCTCGCGGGCACCACCGTGGCGGGCACCACCGGCACCGGCGCTCGGATGTGCCGAGGCGCGCGCCGATGCTCGCGCCACGCGGAGGCGCCTCCACCACGGAAAGCGAACGTCGACGTGAAAGGGGGTCAATGCAAAGGTGGCCAAGGTCTGAAGCTTCCAAGGTCTGATGCCCTGAACCCCTACTGAGAAGTCTGGGAGGGGGTCCTGTTGAGACAGGAGTGGCTCCAAGGTGTGGGATTCCAAGGTCTGAACACAAGAGCCAAAAGAAGTTGAGGGAGGGGGTCCGGCGTCAGCAGGACCCCTACTCCTGGACTCCTAGATTGCTTGCCGGTCGTGCGAATGAATGAATTGACAGAAGCAGCACAGCACATCAAGTGTTAGCAACTCCGCTGCTCGGAAACGTACGACGAACGAAGGCTAAGATCCGCAGAAGTGCTCAGAAATCAACGCTGGAGCGTCCCCCTACAGAGGGGGCCTTCTCGCCCTCAGCCGCCCACATGGGCGGTCAAAGAAAAAAGGATTGGACGTCTCCACAAGTCGAAGACGGTGCCACTCACTTGGTCAGCTCCTTGAGCTCGCTGGGCACAGGACCTCTGCTGAGATGGAGGTCCAACTTTAAGAATTGGTTTCCGCCGATGATGAGGGGGGCTCTTACACAAGATCTCCTTTGGATGAGCGTTTGACTCCTCACCCGCACCCCTCGTTCAATAATGCTCAATAGGTTTGATTACATTATATACTACATTACATATGTTTAATGATTGGGAAGGTGTCGAATTGAAAAACAAAACGACATGTGGATACAATGTGGTGTCTTGAGTATTACTCCCCTCCCAAGCCAGTGCTGATTTGGATCGGTAGCAGCTGAGTTCTTCGGGATTCAATCATTGTTGAAACATACACATCCCTGACATTCCCAGCGAACAGCTTTTGTTCCGGGTCTTTTGCGTAGTCCCGCACGGCCGCGGGACTACGGGCCGTCGCCAGATTCCCCCACACACCACCGTTGCGGGCCCCTATTTGCGTAGCACAGGAGCAGGGTTTGAACTTCTCGTCCTTCCCGAAGGTGAACTTGCAGGCGGCCTTGCCCGCCACACGGCCGAAGACCACCTGGCACAAACAAGGTGGCCCCCTGCAGGCAGGGTGGCATTTGGAAGGATTGGTTTTGAAGGGTCCTATATATGTTCCATTTGGGCGTTTGCCAAGTCAAGCAATACGCGTATAACGTCTCCATCATTGATTCCATGGAAAGCGATAAAGCACGGCCGTACCTGATTGTGAAAAGGCCAGCAACCAGTAGTGAACAAAGCGACGAAAACCCCCTATGCCCGATTCAAAATCATTATTGAATCTTTAGACGCAAGTCTACCAAGGCCATCCCGCTGTGAATGTCCAGGCCACACAGTCCAGCAAGGAGTTGCCACCCAAGCGGTTGTTGCCGTGGATGCCGCCAGCCGCCTCACCCGCCACATAGAGTCCAGGAATCGCTTTGCCGCTCTTGTCGATGCATTCAGCATCCTTGGATCTTGGATCTTGTACAGCAGTGGGAACCAGGCCCACATGCATCCACAGTGCATTCCAAGCATCCACAGTGCATTCCAAACCGCCCATGCAGTAATGAATAACCTCGGGCTGTGGATGTTTGAGCAAAAAATCCGTACAAAACCTGTGTCAAACGTGTTATACAAGTAAGCCTAGGGTCATAGGCGAATGTGTTTGCGCGCTTTCCTGGGCGCATACATGAGAGCACATATACGAGTGAACACACATGATAGCGCGCATATGCGGGCACACATGAGAAAACACATATGAAAGCACGAATATGAAATAGGAGAGGGCGCATATGAGAGCCGACACATGTGAGAACACACGCACACATACGACACATATGATATGAGAGCACGCGTGTGAGCAAACGCATGAGAGCACGGGCATCAGCGCGCGCACAAAAAGAGCACGCATGTGAGAAGGTTGAGAGCCCACAACAATTAGTGCACAATTATGAAAGCGCGCATAGGTGATCAAGCGCCTGAGAGCGCAATGGGAGCATCCATATGAAAGAACACAGGCAAGGGCACACTTTGAGGTTTACAGGCCACAAAACCTGCACTTCGAGACTTTCAAAGCGCCTCCCCTGCCACAACATTTGCAGCTCGAGGTTCACAAAGCGCTGCGCCTGCCACGAAAGCTTCATGTCAAGGTTCACAGAGAGTTGCCTGCCACGAAATACGCAGTTGAAGGTTCACTCACCGCTGTGCGAGCCACAATATCTGCAAGTCGAGCGCCTTCAGCTGCCACGAGATCTGCAGTTCCAGGTTCACAGAGACGAAGTACGCCCTTGAAGAAGCGAGGTGCGTGCCAACAATATCTGCAAGTCAAGCGCCCCACAAAATCTCTAGAGCTCTTCATCTGTGGCAGGCTCCGGCTCCACAGGCACCGCGAAAATGATACGACAGGTTGATGTAAAGCGAAACGGGTTTGCAGGGTTTTCGCCTGATAAATGTTGGACATTGCCCCGGTCCACTAACAGTGAGCACAAAGATGGGCACCACCAAGCGCACGAGAAAATTGGACCCCAAAAGCGGTTTTCTAAATTTGAAAAGTCATCTACGTAAACTGAATAGTCCCATTATATGTTGGCAGCACCTTTTTCTCCTTCATACCTTTGCCACTGGTCCACTGCTTTGGCGCTCTACACGGCACACTCTTGTGCCCAAGCCAACAAAGCCTTGCAAGGCTGCGCGCCCTGGTCTTCTCCAAGCCTTTCTTGAACCTGGGTTGGGGCTGGCTTGCTCTGGGGAGGTCCGCTAGCAAAGTAAATGTCCGGCTAGGGCTTGGCCTGGGGCTGGCTGGGCTGGGCTGGCTTGCTCTGGGGAGGTCCACTAGCAAGCTGGGCCGGGGCTGGCTGGGGCGGGGCTAGCTTGCTCTGGCGGCTGGGGCCAACTAAAGTAAATGTCCGGCTGGGGCTGCAGCTGCCCGAGCCCGGCTGGATCCGGGGCTGAGCGGTCAAATTTTGGCTCTGGAGTTGTGCTTTTCTGGTGCTCCTCCAGGCTCCGGAGTTGTGCTTTTCCGGCGACAAAAAGCACGAGAAAAAGCACGGGAAAAGCACAAAAAAGCACGAGAAAAGGCTCCAAAAAGCACGAGAAAAGGCTCCAAAAAAGCACGAGAAAAGGCACCAAAAAAGCACGAAAAAAGCACGAGAAAAAGCACGGGAAAAGCATCAAAAAAGCACGAGAAAAGGCACCAAAAAAGCACGAAAAAAGCACGAGAAAAGGCACCAAAAAAGCACGTGAAAAGCACCAAAAAAGCACGAGATTGCAGATCAGGATCGGGCTTCCCAAGCTTGTATTTGAACAAAAGCACGGGAAGCACGAGAAAAGGCACCAAAAAAGCACGAGAAGAGGCACCCAAAAAGCACCAAAAAGCACGAGAAAAAGCACGGGAAAAGCACCAAAAAAGCACGAGAAAGGGCGCCAAAAAAGCACGAAAAAAGCACGAGAAAAGGCACGAGAAAAGGCACCAAAAAAAGCACGAGAAAAGGCACCAAAAAAGCACGAAAAAAACACGAGAAAAGGCACGAGAAAGCGCGCGAGATTTTGAAAGCGGGATTGGCGCTCCGAAGATTGTCCCCGCGGAAACGGTGGATCAGGACACCGGTGGTCCTGGGACTCCGGCGGTGGCTGTGGGGGAGGGGGTTGGGGGGTCTGAGGGGGTTGGGGGGTCTCCTGCCTGGCAGGTTCTTCGACCTTGTGCGTGGCATGGGCAAAGAATTTCCATGAGCCATGCGAGTGTCTCCTGCGAGACATGCCCATGCAGCCCATGCATATGATGCAATATAAATTAAGGATAGTAATGATATTACTATACAATATATTCATAGCTTTTGGGTGTACTAGTCTAGTAGTAATAGTAGTGGTAGTAGTGGCAGTAGATGTAACCCAGTGCAATGTAACTCAACATCAGGTTGGTGAAAGACTGGGGGCGAGTGAGATGAGAGGGCCTTCGGGAGTGAATGAGATGAGATGACAGGGTTCTAAACCTTCACAGTTGAAGATGGTACCTTGTTGAAGTGGCCTGATTTCAGTTTGAGATTTCTGGTGCTTTTTCTTTTAGTAAGTTCTTAGGGAAAGCATTTTGCGACTGTTACTGGGGGGGGGCAGGGTCCAAGATAAATGATTGAAGTGTACCTTGTGAAGGTATCGCTTTTGGGGGGTCACTACCGCTCTACGGGTTCTTGTATCGTTTTAACGGCATAATAGATTTGTGTACAAGCCCTTTGGATGTTGCTCATCTCTTCCAGAGATATGAATGCACCGTAAATAGCAGCGAAGAGCCCCGCCCCCGCCCGTGAGCACCCTCCATCAAACCCGGCCTGAAAACTATTGCGGTCAAGAACCTTTGGCGTGACTCACACTGCTTGGGGAACAAATCCACTCAACTTTGCCACCAGGACCTGTGCAGTCCAGATGCGGGGGTGATGATAGCAACATAAAAGGGCTCCGTGGCGACCTTCGATCCGTCAATGATGTTGTGGAAGAACTTCTTCCCGCTCCCGGTCTTGCCGCTGGGTTCGTCCCAGGTCTTGCCCGAGGGGTAAGCGGGGAAGTTGCCGCCATCCGGGTCCTGAAACTGACTCAAGAAACAAAGTAGGGTAGCATTTGATTTTGTCATTACAGTATTCGTATTATGTTTTGCGATGTTTTGTTTGATACTGGCACAAGAGCACTGGTCACAACAAAAAGCTGTTTTGATGGAGTGTTGGTGACCTATGGAGTGGGCAAAGCAACAACAACACTCAACGCAGCTGATGAGAACCATCATTCAGCAGGTCAGCTGTTTCGCAGAAGAAGCACAAGCCTTCCTTCAAAATTTTTGCATGAGTTCTCTGCAGAGTGAGGTCCATTCGATTGGTAAAGCAAATTCATGTAGGAGCCATGACTGTACAGCAGCCAATGCAAACAGAAAATCAAAATGCTATGCTTTCTTCATCACATCGCAATTGACCAGCGACTTCTATGTTCGGATTTTCAGGCGGCGGATTGCCCTCGCCACCTACATGGAGAGTCCTCGATCTTTACAAGTGCACCCCTAGATGTCAACATAATATATAGACATGTGTACATCATACGGTCATACGTATATATTTTTCTTCGGCTCTTTTCGGTCTGCAAATCACTCGGCCCTTTTGGCCATGAAACAAGTTGGAAGGGTCTGCTGCCCGGCCTGACCTTGGCCGCATGGTCGTTGCAAAGCTTTGGAGGCTTTGAACTGCTCACCCACATTCATGCCGTAGGCTTTGCACTCTTGAGAGTGTACCTTTCTCCTCTCCGCCACATGATGTGACTTTTGTGTCCCTGCCATGAAGAGTCTGGCACCCATACTTGGTCCCAGCATGGAGCCAGCGCTAGGCTCTTGATCTTCTCAGGCCCCACACTTCTGGCAAACCAGGTAGTTTTTCTGCAAAACAAAGGTGTGTGGTGCCATGTCAGGAAGCTGACTCAGAATGCTCTGCAGCAAGTCCGCTTTCGTGGACATCACAACTTCCTGGCCTCCTTTGAGAGGTATCCCACTGGATACCTCACACTTTTGATTCTTGAAGAAGAGAAGATCATCATACCAGCAGCGCTTTTTGTGATCCTTTTCTGGCATGCTTTGCATTGAAGCCCTCTTGGTCTCGCCTCTGACTCGCGAGGAAAGAACGCCACTGGCAAAGACGCCAAGCTTCCCTAGTTTCCTACGCAAAGCCAGCGGGAGACCATCATGAGAAGACAAATCCACTAACGTCTGCGCAGGGCCCAAGGACCATTTCCAAGGCCCCCACTTCAGAACCACACTCTTTGAACCACTGACGTAACGTGAACAACACCGTCCCGGTCCCCCTAGAAGGATCCGGATCCCAAACATTCCCAAACCAAACCACGGCGCCGCAATCGAGAAACCAGACCAACCAACTGAGTACCAAGAACACAAAAAGGATGGAGGAGACCCCCGTAGATGACACTCCGAAGATGACGGTTGACCCACTGAGCCACCCGGGCCGAAGCCCACAACTAAACGCACCCAAAAAGCATTTTGCTGAGACCATACACCCTCAAAGCGGAAAGAGAAAAGGAGAAGGGAAAACGACAAACCCCCAGCAATTTCATAGTTCTCCTGGCTTTATCTAAACAACCAATTTGCTTAGAAGACATTTTCCGGACCGAAACCGCAGCCGAGCAACCCAAAATGGTGAAATCCTCAGACACACGTTCAGGAATCTGCGAAGGCGAGCAGTACGACCGGTAAGCTGAACCTTACCCGGAGACTCCCAAAGGGCCACAGAAGCCGAGAACTCACTCCAAGCCTGAACCTTCGCCAGCAAGCCCTGGGCAGAAGCATCGGTGAACGACCTATCATCCATATAGATACGCGTGAGACCCGAGACCCGATTCCAACCCGCACACATCCACGCGCAGATGGCCGCAGGACCAAAAGCACACCCTTGAGGAGTACAAGGAAAGGCGCGAAGAAGGGGACGACTATCCACATGGCCTTGCCAAACAAGCCAGCGGAAGTGGGAACCCCAAACCAAACCGATGACCCGACACAAGCCTTCCGGCCAACCTCCCTGCCGCAACAGATGGACTGTAGCCAGACTGGACATGGAATCAATAGGCAAGGGACGCGGCAAAACCGACGGAGGAGAAGTCAGAAAAGACCTCAGACGCCGCCACCTGAGCTTCAGCCCACCAGTTCAGGAGGGAGAGACGCAACCCAAGATTTATAAGACGGAGTTTGGAAATAAGAAGAAGCCCAAAGACGCCAAAAACACGCCAAAACCGTGACTGGTCGCATATCTTGGATATGCAAACAGCCCTGCTCCGTTTTTTGGGGAAGGTTAGTCATTCGAGAATGCAAGAGCTGGTCAGGAACTGCCCCTGCCGATTCCCAACTGATAGCCAACTGTCTGAAAACCTCGAGAGCGGGTTCGGGAAGGTGACGAATTTCTTCACCGTGCCATTGATCCACACTAGAAGCACCTCCGGCCATCTTGGTTCGAGCCGTTTTGATCAGAATTTCCAATGACAGACTTTCCCACTCAATTTCCGCCGCCGGAACATGGGCGGCGGCAACCAAGTTCTGAGCAATCGTGTCATGATCCCTAGATTGGTGTGACCAAAACTCATCCCAGCACCGATGAACCAAACCAGTGACCTCCTTGGGGTGATGACAACCTGACCAAAACCCGAAACCGAATCCACTTGGGGAGACTCCCTGGCCTTCAACCATCTACCTAAACCTTTGCGGTCTTCAAACATCGAACTCTTGCATTGTTGCAAGCGTGTGGCTTTCACGGCCAACTCATCCTCATCTAAGCGAAGTTTCGTCTGGGTGATTTCGCTCGTGAGACGATCAGGCAACAACTCAACAGCAACGTCGTCCAAATGAAGCTTGCGCGTCAAGAAAGTCATCACTTCGCGACGATGAAACCACCCAGCCGGACTGCTAAGCAGTCTTCGGAGCTCGTAAAGACGCGCCAGCCGCTTGCGAATTCAGGATTCTCATAGCGCCCTTCGCCGAAGTGTTTTTGGTCCTAGAGCAGGTGACACACTTCCATCTAGGCAAGTCCCCTTTGGGGATACTACCTCGAACTCGAGACCGAAAGTCATGGCCCTCCACCAACCCTTTCTCATGAAGAGACCGAAAAGCTCTGCGGAACATATCATTCAAAGAAACCATGAAAAGATCCCAAGGCTCTTGAACAGAACTGCCAGCGAACTGCGACGGAGACAGATCGCGCGAATTGCAGGAAGCAGCTAAACAGGCTCTCCAAGTTTCGGCGTCAATGCCCTTGGGGCGTGACCAACTTGGAGCACTGGCCAACGAACCCACCGTGAGGTCAATAGGTGGACAAGCAACATCGACCTGAGTCAGTTTATGATCACTCAACACAACTTCTTGCACGGAGACCTCTGCAAACCGAGGGTTGGTTGATGATCGCAATCAATTTCCCATCTGGTAGAAATTCCGGGCGACAACACCCCACCCTGCCATCCCTGCAACACATCACTGATAGTGGATTTCTCAAGGGGTCTCATTGGAATACCCCAATGGCGATCCAACCGTGATTCATGGGCAGAGACTCTTCCAAAAGGCAGTCAACCAAGCAACAAGCCGCGTCAAATTGGGGATCTCCATCAGACGGGGGGGCGTAAAAGTTCAAAAGCAAAAAACACTCACAATAGATGGAAACCATTTGGGAGCTATTGCGAACCAGGGCACGACCCTGCCTAGATTGAAGCCTAGTATCCCTCCTCTTGGTGTCGGATGACCATAGCGGTCCACACCAGGGGATCCTTGCACCCCATAGAGTCGAAAACCCTTTTTCCCTGCCATCCTAAGAAACGCTTGAAACTCTTCGGGCGACATTCTGGTCTCTTGCAAAGCAAGAGCAATCAAAGCATCGCTCCCAGCCAGGTGGTCGAGCGCTTTCCAAGCACCCTGGGGTGATCTGCAGGCGACCAAACCTGAAAGCCGGTAGCCGCGGGCCCCGGCTGAGGTTCAACTCCTTCCCCGTGAGATCTCTCAACCAACCCTTAGGGTTGTTGTTGGGAGCAAAGAAGTTGTCAGCTTGACTTTTCTTGCAACCCCAGAGCTTCAGCAACTGCCTACCCAACGCCAGGTTCCTAGCACTAACCAAAAGGCTCTTGGATAACCCTGTCCAAACCTTCACATTGCTTCAGGGTTCGATGACAAAAAGCGGTGTTGACCCTTCGACAATGCTTGCACGTCACCATAGTAGTGGGCTTAGCAACCCTGTCCTCAGACCAATTGGTCCAGTCAGCATGAAAAACGACGAAGTCATGACCTTTTATTTGTTTGACTGGCGCCCCTTTTTTTGTCATCCAGGCATCCGCTTCCGGCAGCGAACATTCCACGCTTTGCGCAACTCTGACTTGTTGTCGAGCTGCAACTGAGTCCACACCGAAGCGCTGGCTGCCCAAGGTTTTTCACGCAACCCTTGGCAAACGCGCTTCATCTGCAAGTTGTTCTGACCTTTTGAATCACAACCTACATTTGGAACAAGTCAACAGAGTGGAGTTAGGTCCGTTTTGAGCCCCAGCCGAAGGCCAGGTAGACCTATTCACATCAACCTGTTTCAAATCATGACCTCCGTAGGATCCCTGTTTTTGGACCAAAAGCTCTGAGTTTGGCACCCAATCCTTGTTTCCCATCCGTTCGGGTCAGAGTCCTTTCTTGATCCGTTCTTTTTGGATCTTCGCTCGCGCCGCATGGATAGCCTTCAGACTGGTGTCACGTCTTGGGCGATGCTTCCGATAGCGATGAGCAACTGACTTGTTATGCCCCTGCTTATTCAAACTGGGAAGCCCTTTGTAGCACCAAGGGCAAGTCCAGCAACGCTGGTCTTCCGGCAACTGACTGGAAGCTTCCACAACCTGTATTGACTCACGCATGAACGTGGCGAGATTGCCAACGGTGTGTTGGTCCGCATGCCGAGATTTGAGGTGTTCAGCCCTTCGTTTGCGCAAAGGGGATTTGCTTTTTCCATCCTTGGCGTCGAAAACCATGCTACAGTAAGGGCAAGTCCAGATCGCGATGACCTTATGGAACCGCCCCAACTGTTTTGCCTTCCGCCCGATCCTCTTGAAAATTCCGGGGAACTTTGGAAGACAAGGCAGAAGACTTGATGAGTAACGCAGGTGGCTCTGATTTTCTTGTGGTGAAAGTCACCGGCGCCGACCTCTTTAAGAGAGTCCGCAATGCTCATACACAAACAATTTCCATCCGCCGCATTGGGAATACTGGTGATCCTTCCGGGGGCGGCTGATAACGCAGCCGTTTTTTCTCCGGGCTTTTGCCCGTGTCCGCAGCCCGTTTGCCAGCCGTTGACATACCCGTCTCCGCATCATGTTTCTCTTGGGACGAAGATTCGTCAACATCCATTGGAGTGGGTTGAACTTCCTCCTTGGTAAGGTCAACAGGAGCGTCCGACTGAAACCTATAGGCTTAGCCAGAGACACCCGACGCTCCCCTTGCAACTTGGTAGTACCCTGTTGAAGAAAATTCCTTTGGGCCTTCTCAACCGTGACGGGGAGCCCCTCGCAAAGTCCAAGCTCTTTGAATGAACTCCTGGGTTCAGGAGCCGAAGTGGACCTGAGACCAAGTTGCCGCCATCCCTTAGCAATATGTAACCACCATTCATCCCCACAACCCTGGAAGCATAATTCAACTCCGTTTCATCTCCCCGGGTTCAATCCAGGAAACAAAGGGTCTTTGTCCAAGGGGGCTTGTTCCCATTTGAGGGGTCCCAAAACACACGAATCCCATTGCGGTGACGACCGGAAGCATTGAGAAGGGCGGAAAGTTCCTCACACTGTTTGAATCGAAAAAGGCCTTTCACAACCATCTCAGTTCCAGCCGAACCGGCTTGAAGCTCCCTGCTCCAAGTGTCCTTTGTTTTACCGTCACAGGAGGGACACACCTCCTTGATCCATTGACGGGCCAAAGATCCCGGTGATCCAATCAACTTTTTCCACGCCGCCGGGGCCGTGGTGTTTCCTTGATTTTGCAAAGCACTTTCAACATCTTTCAACTTTGGGTCGTTTCTCTTTCGGGACCACAACCCGAAGACCGGCCGGGGAAGCAGCCTGTTTGGAGCTCCACCGAGCCACGTTTCTAGTCAACAGCTTCCCATTTCTCATTAAAACCGGGACCTGCGTGTGAACAAACTGGACATCCGGAAAATCGGGAAGAGCCATTTCCGACTTCGGAGGGGTCGGAAACAAAACTGTCACATTGGAACCGGGGTCACTCTTTGTCGTTTGAACGATCTCCCCGACTCGTCAAGGGTCTTCCCCAAAATGACAAAATGAGTATCCGGCTTTTTGGAATCCAACACAGAACCAAATTTGGCAAGATTGGGAACAATGACATACCAGGCCAATCATGGTCTCTTAAACGCCATTCTTGGCTCAAGTTGTCGCTGAGAACGGGCCAGCAACCCTCGTCCAACTGGACTTTCTTACCCCCTTTCCCAACCTGAAACCAAACATCCTTTTGACCTTTCCCTTTTTCTTTGCCTTTGTGTTTCCTTTCCCCTTGTTTTGACCCTCACCTTGGTTCCTGCGGTGTCTGAACAGGTAACCTTTTTCTTTTTTCTTTTTCCGCTTATGCAACTTGCGGCCAGCAACCGCCGCCGAGGTGAGCGACTGCAGCCGATCCAACAATCCAACTGGGTTTGTTCTGGCTCGGTCAACCATGCGAATCAAGGCTTCTAACAAGCTAGCCTTCATCTTAGTGAGCTGTGTCCGACGAGGATTTGCCCTTGCCAAAACTTCGATCCTTACCCTTGGACAGTCCGGAACTCTGAGACGTATCATCCGTCTTGGTCCTGAACCTGTCCAGCACACTAACCAAAGTCTGCAGCAACTCTTTTTCTGCTGCTGCTTTCTGTTGTTTTTCAGCTCGTTTCCTTTCAGTAGCAGTAGCAGCCGATCCCCCGCCCCCTCCCCTATACAGTTATCCCTCGGAAGGTCGAGAGGGAAGCAAGGAAAGGTGTGAGCAGCCGCTTTTCCAAACCCTTGGTGTTCGCAGAGCCTGGTTTTCGAGTTGGAGTTCTTACACCGAGACCTATGTCGCGACCGCCAACCACGTCTAGCACGAACCAGCCTTCTAGATCTAGCTTTCTTGAAAGACCTAACCTGTTTCAAAAATATCCTTTCCAGAAAACTTTGCAACATGTCATCGAATAGTCGCAATGCCCGGTGAACAAGCCTTGGCCACTTTGGTTGCATCCCGGACGCGGGCTTTGACAGTGTTCTCGTACCTGCGCTTGATTCAAGCTGAGGGGCTTGATTCTGCATCTCTGGTCATGCGTGACAAGGTTGATCAGGTCAGGAAACACCTCACCATGTTTGCCATGAACCCAGGCCTCCGAGGCCCGAGTGGAAAGCACTTGCACCACGACCTGATGCCTCAAATCCACATAGTGTGCGACCAGACGCAAGCCATAAAACCATGCCCTTTCCATGCTCTGGGTGCCCAGCAGCACTGTGGTCACTGCTCCCTTTCTAAACATTTCGCCATCAATGAGTGTGTGGTGCACCGAAGCCACAACGAAGTGCTTGAGCCGAGGGTCTCCACTTGTTGGTGCAATGCCAATGGTGACCATTGTCCATGACCCCACGTTTGCACTGCTGCACCACCAGTGGAAATCTCATACTTCGGGAGCTGAAGCAATCTTTGAGCCCAGAATTCAAGATTGATGCCTCCATCAATCTCTTGCTGGAACTCCTGGTCAAGCGGGGCAAAGGCCTTCTGTGTCTCTGGGCAAGTCCACAGCAGGTGCACTGTGGTTGCATCACAGCTGCAATGGCGGGCATCGGAGCTGGCTGCCCTGCTGTCCATCAGCTTGTTTTGTGAAGATGGCCTGTTGATGCCACGTCTGCAAAGCCGTGGCTTGGTTCTTGGCAAGTTGCCTGGTCATCCTGCGCCATGGCAGCCAATCCAAACGTTGTTGGACGTCCGGGAGGTGCGTCCTCTTGTTGACCTTCATGACGGTTTCCCATTTGCGTGCTCTTTCACCATTCAGCATGCATGCTCAACTTGAAATCTTGCTCTCCATTGCGCCCTGGCTTGGTCCACTCATCGTGTTGGTCGTAGGTCCACCCATGCTCTTCAGGTAGCACTGGAGGGCAGCTACTGGGCCTTTTGCATGCTGCCATGGGTGGGCCACACTCGCCAGCTTCTCTTTGTGGATCTGCCATGCCTTTTCCAGATCCCTTTGGAGGGCTTCAGGCCAGTTACCAAAGAACCTGCGGTACAACCGTACCTGGCCCTGCATGGAAAAAAGGAGGTCCACATTGCCCGTCTTTTGAAGGCCCAGCTGACGGCCCATCGTGGCCCGAATCCTCTTCCGCACTTGAGGTGCGAGCCCCATGGCTTCATGTCCCCAGCTAATGCCAGCCAGGATGTTGCCCTTATAGAGCTTTAGCCGAATGGCCTGTGCTGGGATCTTCAGAGCAGCCATCTTCTTTGTCTTGCGGCTGGCTCTTTGTCGTCGAGCTTTCATTGTTTGAATGCGTCTCAAGCGGCCTGCAGTACAGTCGACTCCTAAATCCCTCATCACGTCGTGAATCTTTGGGCCTCTCTTCATACGTATATATATATATTATATAACTATAATATATATATATAGTAATGTATAGTTACTTCGGCTTGCTTGCTTGCTTGCTTGCTGGTTGGTTGGTTGGTTGGTTGGTTGGGTAGTTTGTTTTGTTGTTTCGTTCGCTTCTGTGATCCAATGTTGCCAAATAGACGTGTGCACGAGCGTGATTAGACTAGATCTTCCCGTCGACAAAAACAATGGCTTCCGTCCAAACAAAACAATGGCAATGGACAAACTCCAAAATTAAGACTGCTGACATGGCAGGCAAAAAACTATGGCGTTGTTGTAATTATTTGACTATGTAACTAAGGACTGTGGCATGCTGATATTAGGAGCCTGTTCTTGGTCCATTTTCCACTGCATCATCGTACCGTATTGCCGTATCCGGGTCCTTCTCTTGCTTCTTGGCCGCTTCGAAGTGCTTCTGATGCGTGTCAACCAAGGTCTGAAGAGGAATCCCCATGTCCTTGGCCAAGTCCTCCCCGGAGGGGTAGAACTTCATCACTCCTCGCCCAGTGTAGTGCTTGGCCTCAGCCCGAGCACGACAAACTACAGTATGCAAAACTCTGAATACCTCTAACGATGGACAGGTATAGATTCCACAGAAAAGGCTGCAGCATGAAAGCTAATTTATTTATCCGTCGTGCCCCGCATACAAGCCTCACACCAAGTGGCATGCCAAATAATCTCATCTGCGGCAGCACGGTTCAAGCAAAGGCGGAAAGGAGGCTTGTTCCTCAGCGGCGTGGCATCAAAACAAAGCAGCCAACACATGACACATGCTTTCAGCTTCACCCACGTGATCCACTGAAGGACTCGTCCACCATTGGTCCCGAAGTCCAAGGTTTTTCCCACCCAGAGGGCCATGGGCCGAGCTTTCCCTGTATTCCATGGGGGGACACCCAGGATTGGTACGGAGCTTCTTCCACATCTCTCCGGTGACATAGTCCCGGCGACCCAGCTCGTTGCAGAAGCGCTGGCCATTGGCATCCAAGACCAGGCCACCCACACCACGCAGGGCCTCGGCGGCCAAAAACTTCACCTGGCCGCTGAGGGTGGCACGAGGCGAGTGGTAGAACAACCCGTGGAGAAAAACAAAAACTGCACGGTCCATGATAGCTAATAGAGCCAAATCCGTCCATGAGCTTTATGAAAGACATATCTAAAGAACCAATTGGTTCATTCATGTTTATACACCCCACTAGTTCCACTCATTTCACAAGCCGACCCTCCGAGGCAGTGAACATGCCATGTCTTCCTCACATCAGCACGTAGCCGACATGGGATCTCTAAGCCTCATAGGTGGAGCTACACTCCCACTCACGGAAATGGACGTGCTGGCCCGTGCTGGCCATTGGGAAGACCAGTTTCCATTACTAAAACGGTGGTTTTCCACTTCCACGTCAGTCGAGTTAGAGGGTACACTTCACACGTCCACCCCCTTGGACCACCGCCTTTCCATCCTCGGCCGCACGCCTTGGCATCGGGGTCATCCGGCTTCACCAGGCCGGTGGGGTGCACCTGCACTCGGAACGGGCGACACCAACACACCAAGGGAAGGGCATCGCTACTGGTAGCAAGAAGTTAATTACTACTAACAAGGGCATTACTTCTAAGTAGCAAGAAGCTACTAACATCGACTCCCACAAAGGGAAGGTCGACAGAATCCTGCACCAGCCGTTAGTCATTGACTCAGCTGACGCTGAAGCCTTCTGTGCTTCCAACTGGGCCTTGGGTGATAGGCTTAGATCAGAACGCGCCAAGCCTTCAAAGCCCCTCTGAGGTGTCTTTCCGTCTACGGTAGTGGCCTTCAAGTTGGAAGTTTCCAGACTTGGGAAGTCAATGCTTTGCATCTTTGGGATGTCAATGCTTAGAATGTCAACACCTAGGCTCAAGCTCAAACTTGGGTTTCATATGGTTTCATGGTTTCTCGATGTTTCTCTGGAAAAGCGTGATGAGGGCTTCTCCTCAGAACCCCTGCTGCTTCTGGTCGGCCACCTGGACCCACTCCAAATCGATGGTCGCCGCTCCAATGGCTTCGCCCATCTTGATGGCATCCCCGGTGCAGTGCTCACCTTCGAGCGGACCAACGAACACCTCTGCGGTCAACAGGACCTACATAGGGTAGCATGCTGGACTTGGACAAACGAGGCGATGGAGGTGGACGAAAGGTAGAGCGAACGGAAGAGAACATGAAGAGAGCAGCTTTCGCAAGTGGCAAGCAGCAAAGCAGCAAAGCAGCAGCGAAGCAGGAAACCCATGCCCCAAGCCACAACGCGGCACAAGTAAGTACGGTGCAGTCGGTATCAATACTTGAATCCTCGAAACCAGGCAGCGGAGACTTCCACCTCCTAAATACATGATTTGCTAAAGCAAGAAGAACTTAGGTAGCCGAGGCTACCTTTCGTGAAAATACGTCATCATCTTCACCTCCAAAAGAATGGTTCCTACAGCAGCTTCCCTACAGATGTTCAAGAGCTGTACCCAGTGTCAACACCTGTTAACACCCTCCGCAAAACATGTCCGGAGAGGGTTCGAGCCATCCTGGGAAAGCACACTGCCAACAGTCTGCCTATGGAAAAAAGGTCCCCTCAACCAAATCTACATCCTCCAACCTAGCTCCACCAGAACCATCTTCTAATATCTTCTAATATTTCTGCATGGTTCTGTTTTCGAATGGGTCAGGTCGCCATTCGTGGTGGGCAAATGCAGCAGGTCCGGACGGTAGGTGGCCAGCAGGGAGTCGCTGCCGAAGTCGGCGCCAAAGCCGCCAGAGGCCAAGACCATGGGGCCGAACTCCTGCTTGTGGCGGGCTTTGGTCGACCCATGGCACCAAAGACCAGATCTGAGATCCTCGTAGATCCTCTAGGTTCCCATCATGCAACAACAGAACTAAGTTTTAAAATGATGGATCTTCCGGGCAGCGCCTCGCAGATTGGTGGTCACACGCCACTTAGTCTGAATTCTTCCGAAATAGAGTCCGCTCCTCAACAAAACTATCCAGGCCGGGCCGCTTCGCAACCCGATTTTCGACTCGTCATCCTACTATCCACCCTCTGGGCCTCTGGGTGTTTCATCCCCACGCGTCTACGCTCTCATCCCCGTCCTTCACAACCTTGCCAGCTTTGCGGTACTCGCACCCCACCACCGAACGTCCACTCTGGACCAACTTGAAGACCTCCGCCTGGTCGCAGGGTTGGCCAAAACCCAGGACCTTTGTTTTCTAGATTCTCTTCCTGCCCAATAATTAGGTGTCGTACTGCTAGACGCTGAACCCTAACACAGCACCGTGCGTACACCGAAATGGAAAGCATGGTGAAGAGGTGGTTTCAGATGCTTTCCGCTCCCGGCCGAGAAGCCTTGGTGATGATGCGTGCACGGTTCGTCTTCTCGGCCACCTTCTCCAACATCTGGATCAAGGCCTTGATGGTGTAGGCAACAGCCATGTGCGCATGTCCAGGGTGCGAGAGCGCACTCTTACCCGCACACGGTGTCTCAAGAGCATCGAGCGCGGGATATCTGGTTTTGATTCTCCCAGAGGTCTTTGGGGTCTCTCTATTCCAATGCACACATATTGTTTACAAAAGACCTTGGCTCGACAGCGGCTGGCACGGCCAAGGATCGGATCCAATCGGTCAAAACCACATGTGTTCAGTAGTCATCCGGAAGCTGACAAAGAATAATGGGCCCTACCTTAGGGGGGGTGACTAGGTCATTCCTAAGGCTGATAAGGCTGGCCCCATGACATAGAGACCAAAAGCCACCATCCGGCTGATGGAAGGCTAGCACCACGAAGTTCACCCTTCGAATCGGTGTCCAATTGTTGTCCCTTTGCCGAAACAGTTTCCCCTCGCCTGGGTCACGTTACATACACCATCATATACCTATATACTGTTTATGAATGTTTATGATATATATATATATTTATATTTATATTCCTGTTCGCACCGAGTGGCATAGGTGATGGTCATGCCCGGGAAGCGCTCCTTACCACGATGGGTACGGGGCTGAGAGTGTCCGCCCAAGCGAGCCACCAAGGAGAGGTCAAGGTCGAACTTGTCCACCAACCAATCCTTGGATTGTTGGATTTTCTCGCGAACTGGAAATGCATTTGGACCTCCCAACGCCGGAAAATGAAAAGGATTTGTAGCATAGGCTTGAAGGGGGGCCTATGATCACAACAGTTCCATATGCACAGGCAATTCAGGCAGTTCGTGATTCAATCATAGCATGCATGTTGTCTCAGCTCTCTCAACTCCAGTTTCTTCAGGGATTCCGCAACACACTAGCAAACCTATGACGTAACAACGCCAAGAATCCACATCGGCCGCGCTGTTGGCACACAGCACCTGCCAAAATGTGAGGGCATTGCCTCTCCACGTCTAGGTCAAAAACTGCAGGGCACTGGTCAAGCGATGGAAAGGGTTCCCGCTTGCAATTATTTCGTCCTGATAAAATTGAGGCGTTGTCATTCGTGTCCAAAGCACACCTACGCTCCCCACCTTTGCCAGCTCAGGCTTCTTGGCTCCACCCTTGAGCGTGTCGGCAATGAAAATCTCCGCATTGTCAGGAATGGACTTGGTCTTCTGCGTCTTCGTGCCAGCGCCGTTGATGCCACTGGTGGCCTGGCGCCAAAAGGTGGCAATCGTAAGGAAACAAAATGGAACCCACGAACCCGAATGCAAACACGTACTCGAAAACAAACACCCAAACAATTTTTGACACTCTTGTAGCAGACACTTTTGTGGGACACTCTTGTAGGACACAATCTTTTCGGAAACCTTTGTGGGACACTCTGGTGTACTCTTGTAGGACGCTCTTGTAGGACATTTTTGTGGGACACTCTTGTGGGACACTCTTGCTTGTCACTCTTGTGGGACACTCTTGTGTGGTATCAGGATCAAAAGAAAATTTCTGTTAGGATCAAAAAGAAACTATTCAGGGGATCAAAAGGAAATTATTACGAGAATCAAAAACATCTTATCACCTCTAGCCAGACCTCTAGCCAGACACCCTCACCAGCTGGTGACAGTGACACCCCAACATGTTGCGACTATGGTCTCAGCAAACCAAGCAAGCAATTAATAGTCTCTGTCTTATTTCTTTCTTTCTGTCTTCGTTTCTTTCTTTAATGATTGTTTTTCTTCTGCATGTCGTTTCTTTATTTTTCTTTCCTTCCTCCCTTCCTTTCGTTCGTTCGTTCGTTCTTTTTTTCTTTCTGTCTGTCTGTCTGTCGTTCTTTATTTCTGCCCTTTTTGTTCTTTTTTTCTCTCTTCTTTATTGCTTCCTTTTATCCCTGCTTGTTGTTGTCTGCATCTCTGCTTATTTGTTTGATCCCTAGTTGTTGTTTTATTGATCCCTATTTGTGTTTTTCTTGGTCCCTATTTATTTTTTTAAAATACCTCTCCCGCACGGGTGGACGCTCCCTTCTTCCTTCCCTTCTTCCTTCCCTTCTTTCTTCCTTCCTTCCTTCCTTTCTTCCTTTCTTCCTTCCTTCCTTCCCAACTTCCCTCCCTCCTGCCTTTTCCTTCCTTCCTTCCTAACTTCCCTCCCTCCTGCCTTTTCCTTCCTTCCTTCCT